AATATCATTAAACGGATCCTTGCAAAAGTTTTCCACCACTTCTGATTTTCAATGAGGATTTTTTCTGCCAAATTTGATACTTGAAGGCTGGTACATCCACATGTAAAAGTTTGTATTCATTTTCAAAACCATACATATACATGTATGTAGATGTTGCGGTTTCAAACCACATTTTCCATGGTTCTCTAAAATCATAATTCCACACGCACTTCCTACTCGAGCAAACAACTTCCAGCAGCCCTGAGCAATTTTAGCTTCAAACTGTTGGTAGTTGTGGAAGCACTACTAAAACTCAATGACCTTGGAATGCCCTTCGGCGGATGCAGGGGATGTTTACGTTTCATAGAACAGCTGCTATTGCCAGGCCGGTGTTTGCTCAAGGATAATTTAACGACCAGGTGAAACAGAGCGAATGGAATTCTCCCCAAATTTCATAGCCCCAACAGAGGAATGTACACATCAGTATTTACATGCGACATGCGTGTCGACAAGGGATCCGACAAAACGACGTAAACAAAAAATTCATGAGCAACACTGGGGGGAGGGTATCGGAGCCAAGAAGTCTGAGCCCAAAATGGAACTGTCGACATGAAATGTTGTTGACACATTTTAGAGAGATACCCAAGTTTCTTGCCCTAAAACCATTTGACGAGTTACTACAGTTCAAACTTAGGAGGGTGTACTAAATATATACAAAACAAGTGCAATTTCAAATGCCACCATTTCGAGCAAACATGGAACTGTCACTTGGCAAAATTTTTTGTCGAAACATTTTCGTTGCTTTGAAATGTTTGACAGTGTCCTTGCAACAGTTCAATGGAAGGCAAACCAAAATAATATATAAAGAAAACGCCATTTGCCATTTTGAGCAGACAAGGAACTGTCACAGCAAAATGTTGTTGAAACACTTAAAATAGATACCCAAGTTTGTTGCTTTGAAACGGTTTGACAGTAAGCCTTATACACATGAACAATAGTTCAAAGGAAGGCAAACCACGTACAAGTGCCATTTCAAACACAACAGAAGTTATTGACAACCACATGGCAAATTGTTGTTCATGTCTAGCATTAGGGAACCATATCCTGACTGGATCAGTTAACAATGTTTACTGCTATCCTGCATTGTATTCGAGCAAGCTAGCTTCAAATTGGCACTCATTCAGTCCAGTCCATTTCCAGTGCCCCAAATTGACCTTCAAAGCTGGGTGATTCCGTGGCCACAGAGGACAAACGGTATTGCCCCACAGGCTGCCCAATTCCCCTCGACAGGACACGGTATGGCCAAATTGACTCCGTCAATCAATGCAGTCAATGACATTGACCTTGTTGTGAATACCTTTCCTTTCCTGACTTAACTTTAAGCATTCCTTACTGCGCAGTTTGCAGATAACCACCTTATAATATAACTCTCTATAACCACCTGAGGTTTTTGTGGTAGGATTATCACACACATTTCCAGGGCTCGAAATACTCGAAATACCACCTGTACCAAACCTGCACTAGTCCATGTACTGGGTTTAGGCCACATCAAGTAAATTTAATGGATGACGTCCGCGCGCGCATTGATTTTGGCCTCTTCCTAGAAAAAAAAACAAGAAATTCCGCTTCCTGTAACTAAGGACCAAAGAGTCACGACAGTGCCGCAAATTGTCAGATTGACGAGAAACCCGTAACGCGAGAACAGGACAGGATGACAACTGCTGTTCCACCTGATTTATTGCTGTTTTGATGATGAATAAAAGACTTCTTGCTTCTTACACTGTGTCACCTCATTCAATTTGTGTCCTAACATTTGTCGTCTCTTAGTATATTTCTAAATCTAGGCATCTTGTTTTTTAGGGCCCTTCTTGTTTTTTTTCGCCCTCTCGCATTAGATTTAGGGTCTCCAAAGGACGTCGTCCATAAAATTTACTTGGTGTGGCCTTATATACAAAATGTAGGACCTGGTGTATGTACATGTGGAGTTTTATTTGCTGCATTGACTGTTACCAGTGTAAAAGAAATAATGACATTGATTTCTGAACAGTATGAGCCACACTTCCTAAATTCTAATAAGTGGTGCAGGTAAAACTTCTCTGGTGCAGGTAATTTTCAATTTTACCTGCACCAGTGAAGAAAAACGATTTTGAGCCCCCAGATTTCCCTGTAAAGATTAACACTAATCTGCTGAAGTAATAGCCTGAGGGCATTAAGACTTTTTCGCCCTTTACTACGGCCACAGCAAGTAAATTTTATGGATGACATCCTCCGCAGACGAAAAAAACAAGGTTCCTACATTTCAAAATTTTGACTCAATCATCGTGCAAATTTTGACTCAATCATTGATTCAGTGGGAACATCACATATACAAAGCCAGCATCGTATATCACTGCATCAAAGTAAAAAACAAAACAATAATTCAGAGCCTTTTCTTGTCTCCTCTCTTCATAGTTATCTGTCATCCACGTTCCGGCATGGCAACAGACATCTTTGCCCATTTTCGGCATGTTGACCACTGTCAGAAGGCAACAAAATTTCTTGTTCTTTTTTTTTAATTAATGCAAAAATTAATGCGTGCCTGATGCCATCCATAAAAATTACTCGTTGTGGCCTAAGCAGCTAAGCCAGGTTTACTACCTGATGTATTGCGCCCTCCCCCCAAGCTATATCTGTATCTACTTAAACAGGGGTTTGACACATTTTTCAGACTTTAAATCTGATTTTCTGCCAGCTCAACAGTTCAGCGGCTCTGAATGCTGAAGGAAAGCTAAATGAATTTTCTATCAGATCTTGTTCCCTAAGTACATGAAAATCAAGTCTTGGTCTTGACAGTATCACAGTATCAGGTGGTACAGGTAGTCCTGTTATATTATTATGTACATGTCACGGTACTTTCTGTTTAGCCCCTCTCAATCCTATCAGTGTTGTAGCCAGCCTGATTTTTTCCCATCACCTGAATTTTGTTTGACGTGTAACATCCCGGTATAGTCCCCTGGGAAAATTTTGAAATCTCAACTTTTTAAACGCTATTTTGAGTGGCAAATTTTGCTGGTAGACTAACATTACTTTCATAACATATCTTTCTACATATATCTCTTGAGCAGCTCATCTTTTTACACGCCAATTTTTGTCCATAAAAGATGTCAGATTGGGCAAAATTTCTTTCCATCAAATTTCAGTCAAATGACGGAAAAATGGACACAGGCCAAAACACTGATCCCTATTGTACAACAGCATGTTCCCTTCTAAGTTGGTACCAATCAACTTCACATGATCGAATCTCTAGGGGTGACGTACTAAGGATGAAAAACAGGTACAGTACACCGAGTTTCTGTCACTGTCATACAACAATGGCTGAACACCATTCGCATTCCGCGCAACCCTCGGAGGTCGAACTACTTGATATCCCATCATGCCACATTAGTACGCTTGATACCGCGTCGGGCCTCGCGACAATCAGTCCGAAAGAGGAGGCAAAAAATTGATTTCAATTTTCTCCGTGCTTTGTACCAAAGTATTGCTGCCTGGGTGCCACAAATGAAGGTGCTTGGGTGGCAATGAGTGATGTAATAGACGATTTGGAAGCCATTTGTGTAACGGTATCTAACGCAGACATCTTCCTAAAACACTGGCAACGGCAATTCGCCATTAAAAGTCCAATTACAGGGCAGCTCCGGCAAATGGTTGATGTGATTAGTCGCCAAACGAAGAGTTGGGTTTGGAAGGATTCGTGGAGAACGGTTTAATCTTTTACAGATGTAGTTTTCACGGTTTGCATTATTGATCAACAGTGGAGACAAGGAAGGCAGCAAAAACCCTCCGATTACGTAGAACACTACCGTCAATACTGTGTTTTCATTTGTATTTATTTGGTACATTTCATTTCCAGTCAAACAACTTGACTTTGTCTAAACTTCAGTGGCTATTGCTCACTTTTTGCACGATGAAACTTTTCTCTTGTGAACAAAATAAGAAAAACTATCACAAGATCGACAACAATTGTTAATATGAACCTTTGGTTTCTTGGACGCATGTCTAAACCGATGATGATATTCTACAAGAATACTGTTTTATAGCATCATAAATTCTACATTAGGTAGGTGGTACATCTTGCCTTTTCAGCACTGTAGGGTTTAAGCCTAAAAAATTATCATGAAACTCAACATCAGCAAAACCTTTCAATGACATTGTTTTTGAATCCACTTGATCCAGTGCTAATGATGGTTCATGGCTGATAAATGTTGTCGCTAAGCCGTGTGGTAAAGGGTACAGATCTATCTTCCAATGGGTTCTGTGTGCGTGGAATCCATATGCAACACTCAGTGCACAACACAGATTTAGGTATATGGTCTTGATGGTGACAGATTGACACGATTACAAGTCTTTGTACAGTCTCCGCACACGGGAAATAGTCTTTTTATTCTGTGATAAATTAGATAGGACTTTTCATGTAGCTTTCAACATTTTTTCTTACTCCAAATGCCTATCATCAAGATGATGAGCTCAATTTCTCACCTTTGGTGTTGGCACCTTTGGACATTAACTTTTTCACTAATGGACTCTTTACATTGACACGATTGACGCAGGCGGCAAAAACCTGACGTGCGAAAGCTGTATACGCACGGGAGCGAACGAAACTGCGTACGTCAAATGTTTCCAGCATGTAAATCGGCCTGCTTTGACATACGTCAATAACGTACGTTCAGATGACGTACGTCAATAACGTACGTTCAGTTCGCACATTACCTCGAAAGTTGGCGGTCAATGTGGAATCTGTGTACGCACGGGAGCGAACGAAATTGCGTATGTTACAAGTTTCCTGCATGTAAATCGGCCTGCTTTGACGTACGTCAATAACGTAGGTTCAGATCGCACATTGCCTCGAAGGTTGGCGGTCAATCTAGAAATATTTGATGTGCGCAATTTTCATACACACATTTCAGATTTTTGCCCACATGTACATGAGAACTGGGTCTTAGCTGCCCGTGACATTATAAAAAAAAGTGCCTGCCTGTACTGACCTGAAACCTCCACAATGTCTCCGGGGACCATTTCCCTGGCCTTGATCCTCTGGACAGCCCCCCTGTCCGCACGGACGACCTTGCCCATCTCAGGTTCATATTCTTTCAATGCCTCGATGGCTTCTTCTGCATTCTTTTCCTGTAGGTGGGAGGGGGGCAATGAAAGAAGACATTAGAACAGCTTCATCCTAAATCAAACTCAACATCATCCACATTTTGATATTCCATGAAGACTCAAGTTCACTCAACACATTCATACTTTAAAATTCCTTTAAGCTGAAGGTGTACAGAAAAAATTGCAACGTTTTCCAATACGAAGCAGAACAAACTGTGCCTGCACAAAACCCGTATTGTCCATTTAAGGTCCTATTTGCATTTACAAGTATGACATTTGTCTATAAGTTTTCAAGTGTTGTGTTGGAAAAGATATCATTTGGAACAGGCAAAATTCTGATGCAATTGTGTTGATCAAACAACGAAAACCGTGAAAAATTGAATTAAATTGGAATTGGTATGGCATTAGTAGGGTGACCAACGACACGTTGTACAAAGTTTGTAATACGGAACCTCTCTCCGTGAAAGTTGAGAAACTCAGGTGGTCTCTGTTTGGACATATTCTCAGAATGCCACAAGACACACCTGCACAAAAAGCTCTGGAATTTTCATTCCTTAGCTCTAAGAGATATAAAGCTCGCAGGGGGAGACATTGTATTAACCTATTCAGCCTACTGAAGGGAGACCTGAAGAGCAGAGAGCTAGGCCCTCCCACAACAGAAAAGAAACTCAAGGAGCTCAGAGAGCTCGCCAGGCAGAAGACACGGTGGAAAGAGATGAAGAAAGACTGAATGCGGCTACAGGACATGTCCAAACGACTGTAGACGCAGGACACAGTGGATGATGATGGTATGGCATTTAACTGTCTTTCTTGGAAAAAGATATGACAAACCAGTCTCTAAAACTCAGTAATGGACGATTTCCCTATAGTCATTTGTCCAAGTACACTAATGGTACACTTGGAGATATGCAACAAATTTGACGTACCAAAACCTGAAAGTGCCATGCTATTTTTAGACTGATAAAACACTTCTATAGCTAGCAATGGGAGTCTGTCATGGATTTATACTTCAGAGAAGGGGGAAATAAAATAGGGAAGGTTGTCATCAAAATGGCAGTGTCAACATGGGACAAACGAACGCCTCCCAATTTGACAGCTAGCTCCACTGTCGTGCGTCATCGGAAAATGGCCCTATCGCCTTATTACAACCGGGATGGAAAATTATGTCAATTCTAATCAAGTGTCTGGCAAACTGAGGGTTGTCGCAAATTACTTTTGATAGCTCGCGTTCTAAAAATGGAAACCACGGTGCCAGGCTTGCTTTGTGCTGTCTACTTCCAGGTGGCGGCAAATTGTACTCCCAGGGTTTGGGAAATTGGAACTGTGGCAAATAATTGCCATTACCTTTATTGTCGCCTAATATTGATGATTGAAAATGAAGGGAAGTAATTACATCAAAATCATTAAGGATAGGCCTGTATCATATTAATTCTTCTGTTTTCATAAAAACAGAAAACATGTCAAGAAATTATTTCATATGAGACAGACATAAGAAGTTAACATTGTACGTGTCAGTGTTCTAAGTCAGTGTCTCTCTTTCTGTCATTGCCTTTAATGAATGAATGAATGAAAGACCTTTATTGTACACTTTTGCTCATTCGAACTAAGTACAGGTCATGGTAAACAGCAAAAATATATTTATAGAAAAACTACAATAATTCAATGACGGATCAAAATTTTGCCTAATTCGCACGTGGAAAGAGATGTAAAAACTAAGCTAAGACTACCCTTTTTTTGCCCCTTCAAAATGCAAGAAATAGTGTAGGTCAACGACAAGATTTCAAAATTTCCCTGGGCCCTTAGCATTGTCCTATGTGTCACAGCCACCACTCTAATACATGTGTACATTGATTGCATTTTCTGTATCTCACAAACACCTGCTACATGCTAAGCTCATGAATAATTAATCAGATGTCAAAATTTCATTGTGGTGTCCATCACGCTAATATACATGTGTAGCTACAATGACAAATGTTTAACACTTAATTTTGATACCTTGCAAAAAGTAATCTGAAAATAATTTCATCAGGTTGGTACAATGTACAACACCTACAATGACTCGACTACAAACGTACTGTAACAGCAGTTACATGTCAGAAGCTCTGAGGAAGGTGTCTGATAGACATCGAGATGTCCTAATATTGAGAGAAGTACTAGTTATGCATAAGAAAATCCCCAAATCCTAGGTGCGAAAGCTATTCCTATTTATCTTTAACTACAGAAGAAAAAGGATGACTTTGAAGGATTGATTTATCGACTCCTTGAGCAAAGTAGATCCGTTTCACGCGCCAAGATGCGATTGAAGGGTGTCCTGAAGGAAAACTTGGTGAACTTCCAAATCCTTGCTAGGTCAGGGACGTACAAAATGTACATGTAGCTGGATACTGAACTTTCTGGCAAGAAGGCCATCCCAGTTTATTTTCTTAGTTCTCTAACCTTTTCAGAAAACATTCAGATTTGGAGGATAGCATGTAATTAAAAACCACTCAACACTGACATGGCTCAATTTTTTTTGCACACCTGCACTAGTGTACGTAATGTTGAAAATCTACCTGCACCAGACTAATTTTACCTGCACTAACCTGCATATGCATGACTGCATTTCAAGCCCTGTTAACTGTATATGAATTATGATGTTTAATATTTCATGGAGTAATATGCTCTCCCAATTTTCCTCATAAAGAGAAGATACTCAATCGGTTGCCTTCATGAAATATGGAAAGATAATGTCTGTAGGGAGGATATCTTACACTGATTACGAGGTAGACATGTCTGTACATAAAATGAACTCGTGTAGAAATTACACTAATTACTTTCAGGCAGCAGTACTGCCTTCATCCTTGCTTATAACTTTCTGTTACCTCCGTAAAAATTGAAGGTATTGTTCTTCGTCTGTTTGCTTGTCTTGTCTGTTTGTGTTTCCATATACTAAGGTCAGCTCAAGAACCTGCGGGTAATTTTTAAGGTCCGGCTAGATAGTGATTTGTGATGATATTTGGTATGTGGGTAGGGCTTGGGAAGACAAAAAATCAAGGTCAATTTTGGGCCTTCTAGCAGATCCTCTTGGTACTGCAGTAGAACTTTTTGTATTTTCTGTTCTGGAGATGCTGTGGTTTTTATTTTGTGGTAGCAAATTGCTTATGACGTTGAAAAGAAGTGGTGTGGGTTTGGACTCCCTAGCAGCATGTTTTTCCCTACTCTCCAAGCAGAGGTCAGGGTTTAGGGTTATTTTTGGCGTGTTTTTAGACTTTTTTTATCGGGGTTTCTTTTTTGTACTGGAATTTTTCTTTCACCCAACCCACCAAAAATAACCCAAAACCCTAACCTCTGCTTTGAGAGTAGTTTTTTCCGTGCCAAACTAATGATTTTTTTCTACGGTACGAGAAATGCATCTGCGACCAGCAGTCACATTTTAACTTGATGATAAACTGTAAGGCAAGTAATTTGAGTCAACTGAAATGTGTAATTTGTAACCTTTCCTTCCTCCCTCCTAGCTGCGTTTGAAGGCCAAGAGGTAATCGATGTGGAACCGAGTTTAATCAATTTCCGAACGAGGTTTGAATATTGCATTCCCATGAAAATTCTCCCAACTTTATGTTGAAGTTACTCCCTTCCTGCAACTTGATGGCCATATGCAACAGAACTGTAAAAATAACTAAAATGGCAAGCATGTATTTTTGGAATGCTCATTCATTCTTTTCTTTTTTTGGAAGAAATATTACAGCTCATACTTTTCTAAAAAAAGTCTATCCTGACTACTCAACTCTTAAAAAGTTAGATAATTTACAAACACTAGAAGAGTCTGATATACAAAAGAAAACATTGCATACTTATCTATAACCCCACAAGTTTAATCTTGGCAACCAGCGACTCCCCACATAAAATTGCTGTTAGGACTTGGCTAAGGCTTTGGAAATGCTGGAAACGGTCCAGAAATTCTGTACCCTTATCTAGAACGGCTGAATCCGGCCTGATTAGGGTGAAAAGATGCCTCTGTTGACATTTAAGAAACAAAACATCAGTTCTAGACCGTTGTGTATCTGTACACTCGCAAGGGATGACCTTACATTTTGTGTAACTATCTAGTCTGATCATTCTGATTCTGAAAAACTATTCAAGGTACAGAAGTGCTGTTTTGGGTAGCTGAGCTGTGGGTTTGTGCGTCTGCTTCTCCAGACAGGTTGACAGCATATGGGAGCATGGATAGATGATTGACAGGCAGAACAAATTGTCAAAAGGTCAGACACAGGTACTTGTATAGTAATGCCTCAGGACAGGAATAAAAAATATGAGGATTGCAAAATTTGAAATCTATTTTTTCTTCATATTGTCTATATCTCCACATCAACTTTTCTAGAGTCGTCAAAACTTTTCCAAAAGTATAATGCGGAAATTACCAATTTTGCCCTTTACGTAATGCTCCCTGTGTTGTTAATGTCAACTGGAGGGTAAGCTAACGTCAGATTGTCTCCTCCCTGCCAATTCCATCCATCTGTCAACCACACAATTCAATTTCCTCTGTCAAAACACATTTGGCATTCGCTCCAATAAAAATAGAACTCACTTTGGTATCACGGGGTGACTGGAATTGAACTCAAACTAATCAAAGATCCACCTTGAAAACTGTGTTTGAATTAAATCAATCATAGCTATAGCCTGTCCTCTATTAAAAGTTTAACTTAAAAAAATCCACTAATTTCATTTAAGTAATTATTAACAGTAAATCACCCATTATGGACACCCGCAAAATCTTTTTCCTTATAAGATACTCCAACTTACAAATGGACACACCTAAGATGGCCTCAAGCATCTTCCAAGAATGTCATTATAAAAATAGGCCTGTTTATCATCAAATCTTTGATAATCTTTGATACAATTTCTTCAAAGGCGGCATATTACCCAGTCTGTTAATCAAAAGATCTACGAGGCTCATTTGGAAGAAGCAGGAAGCTTGGAAAAAAATCTCTGCAGCTCCAATTTACCAAAATAGATCTACCACGCTTTGAAAGAATTTATCTTAAGAG